ATATCTATAATATGGTATACCTTTTAACCTCTCTGATAATTCCTTAGCAAACATAGCAGCGGCAAGTTTACTCTGCTTGTAAACCTCAAATCCATCGTACTTCTTCCGATGTTCCGCATTGAGATCGTCAAAATCTATGTCGCACCTGTAGAGAATCAGTCTAGAAAAGAACGCAAATCAGTAAATTCTTACTTTCTATTGATTATATTCGTGTTGAGAAATACTATTCGGACACGATGGTCTTGAGCAAGAAGTTTGTCGAGTAATAAACCAGTCAGTAAGAAGGCACCAAGGTGATTTGTAGCTAAGGTACGTTCGATACCATCCTGAAAGAGAAACAAAATAATCTTAGGCAAGCAATATAGTCGCAAAAGTTTTTTTTGGAGGGGCGGGGAAAGGAGATGCCATAGATGTTTTGTTCAGGGATAGCGAAAGGCCACGAAAGTTTTTGGAAAGCCTCCAGGAATTTTGCAGCTTTAAAGCTTTCGTTTTTTCGGTTTTTCAAAGAGCGTGAGTGACCAAAAGGCCTCGAAAATTCATTCTCTAAACTACTTGATTTTTTGTACATGCATAAAATGATTTGGGTTATTTAGAGATTGAAACGAATATCACATGCTATAAGTTTACAACCCATTTAGACCCCTTCCGAAAATTTCGCGGCCCATTATTGAAAAGCCCCTCCCCTATTCCAATGGAAACAAGTTTGTTAACTGTTGTAGCACAGAAAAAAAAAACAACAAAGGTTGCAAGACAAATTGAAATTGAGATGCTTCCTAGATAAAATATGCTGACTCTAGGCTCACCTTGTTCACTTTTCGTTTAGCATCCATCATAGCAGCATTATGTACGACACCATCTATTCGATCTAGTTCATATTTACCTGGAAAATTACTGAAAAATCAAATTCCAGTCACTCAGTCATGGAACTAACCTTTACTAGCTTTTTGTACAAAAGTTCGTACACTGTCGAAATCTTCGAGATCACATTGTCTACAGTATACTTGCTTATTTCGAGTGCTCAAGACAATGTCTCGCCGAACTTGTATGCATTTTTCACGATTTCTAAATCGGTCATAAATGGAAAGACTAGTCTTTATGATTGCTGCTTACCTACAAGCCATTATGACTCTCGCATTCCTTTTCGCTAATTCTTCTACTGTAGCCTGAATCACGATTCTTAGTAAAGGCCTAAGAGGGTCATAGAGAGAATTTGACCAAATCACCTGTCCTATCCCCGAGGTAGCGCCGGTTACGATATAGGTTTTACCAGCTAAGTTTTCATGTAAATCGTATTTTGTACCGGATTGTGTAGAGCTAAACAAACTCTATACTTGCTTATTGAAGAAAATTCAGAAAAAAACAGATGAGCAGAAAAATAAATCCGGAAAATAAAAGATATACTAGTAGGAGAAACAATATTACTCACTCCCAGATATGATATAAACCATAAGCAATTCCAAAGCCGGAAAATCCCAGAGACCATGGAGATGTGAGACCTTTTATAAAACGACGCGCAGCCATCGTTTCTGAATGCGGTTATTGTTTGTATAGATGGACCTTTGAAAGGCTTTTTTCCATTGTGATCAAACATCACGAGCATTTCAATATGGACGGTCCTTATTTTCTATCAATACACCTATAGCAAGTCAGTCTATTTGATATGCGAAGTTTTGTAATTTTCCAGAGGCTCCTAACCTTGAATGTGTTCAAAAAGATTTTTATTAGCAACTAAAAAAATAAACTAGTTATTATTATCTAGTAGAAAGAAAAACATCCCAGGCTACAGACCACGTCCAGAAATTTTGTAGAAAGGGAAGGAGGGCAATTTACCATACCAGAAACCATTATCATCATGCATTAATTGATTTAGCCTCATTCCATCTACTTTTTAACACATTCACGACAATGTGACCCACTGGTGGATCGTAGTCCTCTGCCAGTTCGGACAACACGACCCCCGGTGGGTCGTATGCTTTCTGAATTGATTTTGCTAATTCACGATGGAATTTTTTTAGCAAACTGAAATAAACTTCTGCATACATCTCCTTGAATACTTCCCAGAAAATTGGCACTTCATACCATGGGACCCCATTAGTGGCCAGAAAATATAACGCAACGACATTGCGAGATATGCTGTGGCCCGAAATGGCGGCACTGGAAAAATCGGCTTTGTCGTGAATGTGTCAAAATGACCTACAAGTCAATAACAGCACCTCTCATCTATACATGCAAATAGCTCTCTTCTACCCTGAGCTGAAGGACTGTTAATTCATAACGCTTGCTCTTTACGCTTCCCAGATAAAATAATGATAGAATCGATATGACAAACTATGATGCCGAACATTTTTCTCAGAAAAGGAAAACAAATTTATTCTAAACAATAAATACTGAACACACGGCAACAATACATAACAGAAAAGAAGTGCCAGTATTGGACCAAGCGATAATATTACACCCAAGAAAAAGAGCAAGGAAAATGATATCGAAGTATAACACAGAACCGTCTTCTACATAGTGATGTGAAACATTGCTTTGAATAGAACTCTATGTTTCACTTTGAACAGCTGAGCTAGCATCGTTGTTAGAAAAGAAAAAACATTTAGACAAGTTTCTTAGCTTCGAAGAAGCCTTTGAGATGTCGCATTTGCCAAGCACCAGTGAGCACCAAGACAAGAGTTTGGCCAACTGACCACCACAAAACTCGGCTGTTGGTGGATTCGGAAGTTTGTCGGAAACGCTCTTCTCTGAAAGTCATCAAATATATGTGCAGAACATTCAAAAACTGGGAGAAAACCAAATGAAATTTGGAATGAAGTGATAAAAAATAATATTTTTCGGATTCTCGCTTACCTGTATCGCTGATAATTTTGCTCCTTTGTGATCTGCTCGACCTGGTCCAGTAGTTGACGGATCCGGAGTTGCAACTCGTTGAGCTTGTCTTTCGTGGCAATCTTAAAACAAGAACCTTCTATGGTCACAATGGTCCCAGGTTTATATACAGGGTGTCCCAAAAAATGTATCGAACGTTTGA